AAAAACATGGGTGGTTATGTGTTTTTGTGATTGAGTGAGGTGAACTTCATGACTTTTTGAAAAATTCTATTCGTCTTTTGACATTTCCATATGTAAAAAAAATTTTTCTTTATTTCTAGACTTTGCCAAATTAACAGCAGCTGAATCAAAGTATTCTCCTTCTCCCCTCAAAAGTTGGGTGTTTATATAACTTCCTGTTATCTGGTTATCTTGTGTGTATATCTGGGTTCACTTTCTTGTTTATGTTGGTGCACCCACTGACATCCTTTGAGGTTTCTTTTGGATCAGTCCTTGGGACTCCTAAATCTTTTTTGTTTCTGATGTGATACTGACTACAGAACCAATTTTGGTATCTCTTAGAGTGAACCCAGCATATATTTAGGTTGACTCTGGTCAAGGTTCATGATAGACATTAAATTTGGTTCAGATCTCTAGTATTACTTGACATAAATCATACTAACTTTTAGCACTTTGCATCATTTATAAATATTACTTCTCCTTTTACTGTATATGGAATCCCCTCAAAATATAGCGTTTGTTATATTAGTTCTATATATTTGAAATTTCTATTGCATTGATCTGTTATGTGCCAAGTACTTTCAGGAAGTGGGCAATTGTCTTTATCTTTTGTCAACAGCAATAATGTATTACAATTGATATTGCAGCATACAAAATACTTTACACTGCAGTAGGGCATTTTTGAATATCTGGGGAAATTGGAATTTCCTTATCAATTGTTTGCAAGGCCATTATATGCAGCATTTCATTGTAAGTAGATGAAAATAAAATACTCAATGTATTTCAGTAATGTCAACATGCAGTCTTGTCTCCATTTCTGTTCTTTTATTATTTATTCTGGCTGTCTTTTTATATCATTATCATAAGATGACTTGTTTTGCAAAATCTGTACATAATCTAAATGTGTTTATTAATTAGGTAGATCAGTGTCAACAGCTAGGATTATTCATTATCTCAAACCTTGTTTCTTCTCTCACCCTTTTGCCCATATCTTCTCATTCTTCTCCATATATCATTCAGTCTTTGTTGTCTATCCATGTTTTTATCTAAATATTATACAATCATGAATTAGTTTCATTTGTAAGCAACAAATTTGAAATACAGAAATATTTTCTTCTGCATTATCTATTTATCATTATTTTTACTCTGTTTTTCCAGAAAGAATTTTAACAGACTGCAATTTTTATGCTATTCTGTCCAGACCTGCTTTTCATTCATTGCCACCTGATGTGCAGCCAGCAAGCCTGTCTCTCTGACTTCTACCACTCCCTCTCTCTCTTTCTCCATATATATATATATATATATATATATATATATATATATATATATATACACACGCATACACACACGCACATGTATATGCATACACAAGGTAACCAAAAAAGTCCTTGCCATTTTTTATTTATTATAAAAAAAGTCTTCAACAAATTTGACATACCGTTAGTCTTCAAATTAATCCCCACCAGCATCCAGAATCATTTTGCTAACTTGCCTCTGGCTGTGCAGTGCCCTGGCAGTAAAAATCAGATGTTTTGGACACAAAGTCTGTGAGTGCCTGCCCTAAGTTTGCTTCATTTGTGAAGTATTTCCCATTAAGGCAGTTGTTCAGGGAATAGAAGAGGTGGTAATCTGTTGGCACAGTTTTGAGGGTAATGTGAATGGCACAGTGTTTCCTAGCCAGGTTGCCGTATGATTTCCCTGGCTACCTGCGCACATGAAGCATGGCGTTGTCAAGGAGGGACAGTATACACTTGCAATTAAACAATGCTGAATCCTTCTGCTTCAGTGCCTGTTGCACATATTCCAACTGCTGCGAGTACAGGTCTGCAGTGATGGTTTGGCTCACTGGTAGCAGCTCATAGTGTACCATTTGTTGACTAGCTCACTAGATACAGAGCATGATCCTGTGTGGGTGTAGAGGTGGTCTTGTTGTGTGACGCACAGAGTCTTATGGTGGCAACCAATGTCTGGTATGCTTAAGAGTGTCATAGAAGATCCACTTTTCGCCACTGGTGGACACTTGATCAAATATAGATATATTGTGTTGTTGAGAAAAAACGAAAAACAGGCTGTCACTTGTTGCTTGTTGGCTTCTGACTGTGTTGGTACCCACTTGCTCAACTTGTATGCAGTGCAGGTGTAGTCTGACTATTTCATCAGAAACCTGGAAGCTCACCACAGATTTGGCTGTTGTTCACCTCTATGAGAGCCTTCAGAGCTTCATCATCCAGGATCTGTGGCTAGCCACTACGGGGTTCATCACAAAGGGATAGATCTCCTGACCTTCTGAAATTCTGGAACCAATGGCTGGTGGTGCATTCACTTACAGCGCTAGCTCCAAAGGCTTGATGTATCATCTACTGATGATGTTGCACTTGCAGTAACATCCCTAGAGGAAGTCCAAGTCAAATATTTCTCTGTTGTATGCAAAGCTTTTTGTCTTACTGTTGTATCCTTAAAGAGGTTACAAACAGATAAAGGTGGTACTTGAGTGAAGGAACAGCAACATACATGTATATGAAAGATGAGAGGTTTATTGTAAAAGAGAATACACTACTGAAAGATAGGAAATTGGGTGGCAGGCTAGTAATTCCTGAAGCAACCCCCATGTATATCCTGTGCTCACTATATATAGCTACTGATATAGTCAGTCCACATAGGCAATAGGGAGTGTGGGACATTCCATTACAACACTTACCATTAGTATAAAGAAAATAGATGTAATCCACCAGCCATCTTGCTCAGGGATGTCAGACAGCCTCCACAAGTTCATCAATTCCTAAACACTCCTATACAGGTTGATGAAAAGAACTTGAAGTATATAAAGTCATTTACATATTTAGGAAGTCAGATGAAAGCAAATACATCATTTGATGACGAAATAACAAATTGGATCATGAAAGCTACAAGTGCATTTGGGAAGCTTTGTGACCCCTGGTATATATAGCATTTATATTTTGTGGGTACCTAGTGAAAACTCAGTAGACCTGTAAGTGAACCCCTTGAACTAAGGACACATGTTGACAGTATTTGTTTTCATTTTTCATTCCCTCATTTTTAGAAAATAAATTAAGATCTTGGCTAGCAAAAGTACAGATAATATGAGAAATGAGTGCAAATATAATTTCACCTGTTCTGGTTAGGAGTGGGGGCATATATAAATCATATTCTGTGTGTTTCATGTATTGATTTACTCTTGAAAATGGCAGTTGGAAAGATTGCTAAGACTAAATCAACAATGACAGTCCTTTTGAATTATTGCTTGAGAGGCCAGGAAATATATCAATATAATGCTCTAAACAAAAATATCTGATCAAAATGTTTCTTTTGTTTAGATGAAAGAAAGCAATTTGAAAATTATACACTCAAATTCTGGCTTATTTTGCACCTTCACTACTTTTTTTTATTTTGCACCTTAGCAACCACTATACCATTATTTTTATTTTGTTCCTTAACAAATAATTATATTTTTATATTTTTCACCTTGACAACCACTATCACTTTTTTACTTAGCCCTCTGACAATTATTATCAATTTTTTTGTATTTTGCACCATGGCAACTTCTATCTCTTTTTGTGTGTATTACCACTTTTTTTTTATTTTACACCCACCCTGGCAACCATTATCTGTATTTTTCCTTTTTTCTTTGCTCCTTGGTAACTAATATCTCATTAGCATTTTACATATTCACAACCACTACCTTTTAATTTGCACCATGGCAATCAATCTCTTTTTTTATTTTACACCTTGGTAACCAATATATCTTTTTTCTTGCATTTTACACCTTTGAAATCACACTTTTTTTTTTTACTTTGTACATAGCAACCAGTCTGTGGGGAAAATTGTGAAATGGCCTACCTCGGAAACGCGCTCAATCTGGCGCAGTATGTAAACACTGGTCCTTCCAACTGTAAAAAAGAAAACCAAAATGGCGGCGCCCACGTTTTATGCCGAGTGGTCTCGGTCAGTTAACGCGAAATCTCGTTGCCTCGTGATTCGCATATGCAAATCGTGGTCGGTCCGCAGCTGTATAAAAGCAGGCTCGTTTCTGCTGTTTCAAACAGAAGGCTTTCGCCCGAGAAGGTTGGACGCGACACCGGTTTTCTTTGTGCCTACCTGCTATCACCCGTTGAATTGTTGAGTTACACACCACAAGCTATTTCGCAATGGACAAGTTCGATCTAAAGTTGATCCCAGAATTGACGGCTCCCCACGGGCCCGACTATCGTCGAATGGTTTGAAAAGGCGAACGTGTTTGCAGGGTGTCCAAAATAAAGGAACCTGCACTAGTCATCCCACTGAGACTCACGGGAGGAGCCTACGCAGTATATCAACAACTCGGGGATGATGCTGACCTAGAAGAGATCAAGACGCCCTGTATACGGCCTTTGGAATAGATCCATTCATCGCTTGGAAACAGTTCGTCGGACGACGGCTTGAGCCGGGTGAGACCGTGGATGTTTACCTGGCTGATTTATGAAGGCTGGCAGTACCGTTTACGGAGCAACGGACCGCATACTGGGGTGCGCCTTCCTGGCAGGGCTTCCAGACGACACCAGTCGGCTCCTGCGAGCCGTCTTCAAGATTGGACACACTGGGAATTGACGAATTGCTAGCCAGGGCCCAAACATCTTGAAGGACACGGAACAGATCGCGGCAGCCGTGAGAACGCCTGAGACACTGAGGGAGGGCCCAAAGTGCTACAAGTGCGGTGGACCCAACCATTTCTCTAGGGACTGCCGGAGCCGAAGTAACGAGGAGGAGCGGCAGGCAGAACTGCGGAGCATCGACTACGGGGCTGCTATCGCTGCAAAGAGTTAGGCCATGTAGCACAGGATTGCTCGAAACGAGTCCGGGGACAAGGTGCTGTCGCAACCCTTGCCCCTCTCGGTCAGTAAATGCGGCATTGCCTGTTATCAACATGTACGTTGAGGGTAAACGATGTTCGGCGCTTGTTGACACTGGATGTTCCCGATCGATCGTTAGTGCGGATCGATGCGTGACATGGAACAGTCAACAAATCGAGATTCGACGATTGACGGGGTGTCCCGGCCTGTTGTGGTGTCGGACTGTGTCCGTCCTAACAGACGGAGGGAGTCATGCCAAAGTCGACGTCTTGGTGGCACGTCAAAGGCCCCTCGGGTACGACCTGCTACTTGGGATTGATGTGATCCGGCGTTAGGAGGCATGATGATCACGCCAGCTGGAAATTTGGAACTGGGTGAAAGAAGAAAGGTGTGTGCAGCCCGCTGCGCTAGTGAGCGGATTTCGACGTCTCCTTCAATTCCGACGAGAGAGTGTGGACCGCCAGGTGAAATGGGCCCAAAAAGACCTGCCAGTTCAGCTTCGCAACAAGGTCGCTGAGTACAAAGTTCCAGACAGCATCAGAGGGAAATACGAGAAAGAGCTTCAGCAGTGGATTGTGAACGGCTGGCTGATTCCGTACCCCAGGAAAGACTGGGACCCCCAAAGGGTCTGATTCCCTTGATGGCAGTCGTGCAGGAGCAGAAACAGAAGGTGCGTCCCGGTACTGATTACCGCGAATTGAACGACTTTGTGGATGCTTTCACCGCCGATGCAGAAGTGTGCGCACATAAGTTGAGAACGTGGCGGCGGCAGGGAGTCAATGTGTCGCTTCTGGATCTGCGGAACGCATATCTTCAGATTCACATCGACGAAGCGCTGTGGCCATTTCAAACGGTTATTTTCAAAGGCCAACGCTTCTGTCTTCTGCGGCTAGGATTTGGGCTAAATGTAGCGCCACTCATCATGAAATCCGTTATAGACGCCATCGCATCGCAAGACCGCACAATTGAAAGTGCCACATCAGCATACGTTGATGATATCTTCATTAATGAAAGTTTGGCCTCTGCATCGCGTGTAAGACAACACTTTTCGGATTACAGTTTGGTGTGCAAGGATCCGGTGCGGCTGAGAGATGGAGCAAGAGTTCTTGGCTTGCAGGTCTGGGAAGAAAATGGCACCTCCGATGGAAACGAGGAAGTAAAATTCGAAGCCCTGATGTGTTGACCCGGCGGCGCGTATTTTTCATTGTGGAAACTTGCTGGACACTTCCCAGTGTGTGGATGGCTCAGGTGGCAGTTGCATTAGTCAAGCGCCTGGCAACCGCAGCACCCAATGGATGGGATGATAACATCAAAGATCCTCTGTCGCATACCAGCAGAGATGTTAAGTAGAGTGCGGAACTGGATCCCGTCGGAGGAGACTGGTGCATGAGTGGTGACGAGATCACAGTCTGGGTGGATGCGAGTTCCGTGGCGACAGGAGTGGCATTGGAAGTAAACGGAAATGTCATCGAAGATTCGTGCTGGCTGCGTGTCCGACTAATGATGCCAGGCACATTAATTTGGCTGAACTCGATGCGGCGCTGAAGGAGTGAATCTGGCTCTCCAGTGGAGGCGATAACGTTGCACTTGGTCACTGATTCGGCGTGCACCGGTGGATTTCAGACACCTGACCGGAAGGCACGGGTGAACACAAGGGCGGCTGGTGAGATGCTGGTCAGGCGACGGCTGGGCATTTTGCGATCGTTGGTGGACGAATATGGATTGACCGTAGACGTGACACTTGTGCAGTCCTGTCAGAACTGTGCAGATCGCCTCACCAGAGTACCGCACAGGTGGCTAGAACTGCTCAAGAGAGGAGAACCGCACTCGAGAGCTGTGCAGTGGCAGACGACTGGATGAGGACCAGGTTGCCAATACGCATCGTCAATGCGGACATCCGGGCGTGAAACGAACTCTGTACTTCGCCAGGTTAGTCGACCCGCAGGTGTCCAGAGAAAGCGCAAATCCGTTGAAGGCCTGCACAACCTGTCAGTCGATCGATCCGCACCCGTTCACTGGGAAAGAGGAGAACTGAGCGTGAAGAGCAACTGGAGCAGACTGGCAATGGACATAACTCACTACAATGGTGAGAATTTTTAACACTCATTGATTGCGGTCCCCTCAGGTTCGCGGTATGGCGTACGCCGCTGCGCAGACAAGATGCGAGCACCGCTATTCGACTGTTGGAGAATGTTTTCCTGGAGCGAGGCCCACCCATGGAAATACTGACGGATAACGATACTCGCGCTCACCAGTAAAGATTTTAAAGAATTTGCGGACACTTGGGACGTGCATCTGCGGTTTCGATGTGCCTACTCGCCAAGTGGAAAACGGCATCGTGGAGCGGAACCACAGAACCATCAAGACCATCGCAGCCAGGAAGGGCTGCACAGTTTCGAAGCGGTTTACTGGTATAATGTCGCCCCGAAGATAACATTTCACCATCCACGGCGCCGGCTGATGCACTGCACAAATATCATGTTCTGCGTGAAGGGCATCGAAGCCAACCCGCTGCCTGAACTAGAAGTGACTGGAGGGAGATTGAAAAAAGGAGACATCATTTGGGTCAAAACCCACGCGGCAAGTGTACGACAAAAGTACGGCACTGGACGTGTTACGGAGGTTATCAGCCCGCAATCTGTGAGAGTTGATGGGGTGCCTCGTCACATTAAAGACTTGCGACCCGGTGATTTAATCACTACCGCTAACGAGCGATGAAAGCGATTCCGAGTCTGGGAGTAGTGAGCGTTCAATCTGCCTTTTGAGTTAGACCTGCAGGGCAGCGATTCTGATAACAGCAGCCTCCTCTGGCGGACACAGTGTTTACCGACACTCAAACCACAGACGAGAACACGCACGAGGATGAAGCTTGTGTTATCCCCCTTCGGAGAGGGACTTACACACCACACAGTCTCCACTTTTTATTTAGCTCCTTGGTAATAAATATCTCTTTTTTTTTATTTTAAAATTTGGCAACCAATATCTCTTTCTTATTCTGTACCTTGACAATCAGTTTTTATTTTGCACATTAGCAACTAATATCTATTTTTTTTATTTTACTCCTTAGTAGCCAATATCTTTTATTTTGCACCTTGCTAATCAATATCACTAATGTAAGGTTCACTAATTTTCCTTTTTTTTTTTTTTTTATAAAGGTCTTAAGTGGATTTCCATTTGTCAGAAAAATGCTACAGCAGATTGGCTTATTGAACATCTCTAACATTCAGTTATTCTCATTCAGATAATCTTTACATGCACATATGACAACAAATAAACTACTTCAATTTCTGTTGGATCACTGATTAATTCAGTATATGTTTTTTATACATTAGTTTTTCTTAGGATAAATGAAAGATATATTGAATGAAAGACTGTGTATTTTACTGTGAAAAATTGAGCTTTCTGAGATAAATAATAAAAAAAGACCTTGTAGAAATTTCCCCTTTCAAAATTAGAAGATAAAGGAAAAAATGGCTGAAACTGAACACATTGTGTAAAGTTGATGACTTGAATCTCTCCCACATTTGACTTAGTCAAGCTGCATTTTTGTGGACATATGTAGATAGTCCACTATGAAGACGAAACTTTAAAAAAAAATAAAACTGCTGATGAGCCCACTTATGATGACTTCTACATAGCTGACCTTTTTAAATATTTACCAAATTTAATTTAATTCTGTACTGGGCTGTATGTGAGGGAAGAAGATTGTTTTGATAATCTTCCAAGTGGGGTTGATTTCCCTTCTTAGAAAATCAGTGCTTGAAATCTGAGCTTATAATTTACTTGAACATCATTCAGTAGGAAATAACTATTTTTGCTACCAAACAGTAATGGTCAAATATGACACCACTGCCACAAAAGAGGCATGGTGTAGTAATGGATAGCAGCTTGGATTGAGGAATTGGAGAGCCGAGTTCAAATTCCAGTTGAATCCATTACATTCATTTACATGCTAATACCCTTGGGAAAGATATGAATCCTCTTCTTCTTGCCCCAGCTATGGGTAAATAGCAGGACAGACAGGGTTTTCTAGTCTTGGATGGCAACTGGTCTACCGCAGAAAGAAATGGCAACCTACTGTGGGAAAAGCTCTACTTTGTCAGTCATGTATCAAAAGATACATGATCGCCTAAGTGTGTATCATGCATGACACATAACTGACTGACCACCACAACAACATTATTATTAAAGACTTTAAGTCATTAAAAGATTCAGTTTTTTAGTAGGAAGTTGACAGGCTGGATAGTTTTGCTTAAAATTATGATGTTAAGCAGTTATATTCAACAATGTTTTTATTTAAACAGACAAATTTGAAAGCATTTCTTCACTATCTTCAGAATCGGTTTTTTGTAGTCCAGGGTAGACAACTTGGTTGAGTTATGTCCCTTAAATTATGTTTGTCCCTAACTGGTTGGAAGTCGCTCCATCATACATATATGTAAACTAACCTCCAGCCACAGTGCTACAGAGACGGTGAGGTGTCGCATAAGCCCCTCCTTCATGTTTTTTACTGAAACAGAGATCTAAACGGAAGACTAATTTTTTTTTCTTAACCTCAATCTATGACAATGCTATTGAGTGGAAATATTATTTACTGACATTAATTTTTAAAATAAATCATAGTTTAAACTTAGCTAGCCACAAACGCTGACCCAATCATACAAACAATATTCCTTGCATCAAAACAACACATTCTTACATACCTTTCTCACCACATCCACCATAATACCTCAATGCCTCCATGAAAATACTAACTAGTCCCCATATGTACAATTTATCGTCTGTGGGTGGGGAGGGGAATAAAACAACAATTTTTTAAAAAAATAGCCCCAATGAATATTTACAATATGAAATAAAACTATTTATGAGAAACTAAACAAAATCATGTTAGTAATAAAACCCTCCACAATCACTAAATGTGTCAGAAACATCAGTTAACTGGATGAAATCAATGTGGGACTATAATAAATTAAAAACATTCATTCATCCCAAGCACTCACACAAACATGCACTCATTCAGACACAATAACAAATATGAAAAATCACATATGAAATGAAAGTTGCCCCACATCCACCAGAGAACTGACATCACTGACTACCTAACAAGGGAGGGGATGGGGAATTAAACTTAAAGAAAATAGGGACAGAAATAAAAAAGGCCAATGAGCATACATACCCTAGCTAAGTTAATTGAAAAAGGAAACTAAAGATTCAAAAACTAAACCTAAGCTACCCTAATTTCAGGATAGGTTGCCTGTGTTCAACCCAGGGAAAGCAATATCCTGATGACTAACTGGCATCAAAGTGTCGCTCCAGGTCAGCCCCTTTCACACGACACAAATGTGCAAGATTCACCCACCTTTTTCCAAATTCTGATGAAGTGAGCTGCCATCTTTCCATCCTAATCTTGACTTTAAATTGATGTTTAAAGTACAAGATCAGTTGGGAAGAAGTGAAATTTTCATCTCTATAGAATCCCTTCTGA